AAATTTCCTCATCAAATTTTCTCTGCAAATTTTCTTCATAAACATTACAATTTTCTCACCAACCAAACATCTATTCCACGACCAAACATCTATTCCAAAACACTGATTAAACCATTTTTTCATCATTCAAACACTCAAACACCCAAACTATATAATTTTCTAACCTAACCAAGCAAATGGAAACCATTGAAAATTGCTTTTTTACCCATTGATCACTGCTTCTGTTCTTTCCATCGCCAGCAATGTTCCAGCAATGTTCCAGCAATGCTCTTTTCATTTTGTACATTAAAATTATTTAGACAATAATTAAAAAATATGAAGCAAAAGCATCTCAAAAATCTCTCACAACCTGCAATTTGCATAAACACTTCGCAACAAACAACAAATATATAAAAAAAAAAAATGTGGAGCTGGGTTCCAGGAACCCAGCTGGGTTCGGAACAATTAGTCGATCTAGATTTGCAAGTGATTATAGATTCTTCGTGGGTAGAATTAGGAGATGAAGGGCTCACGGGTAATGAATGGGAAGATCGAAAAATTGGAAGAAGGATTTTTTGGCTAGACGCATGGAATTGGCCGAACCCAGCAAAGTTGAAACCCAGCAAAGTTGAGGCTGGGTTTCAACCGAAACCCAGCTTTTGCTAGGTTTCAACTGAACCCAGCAGCTGCCGTCCACTGCTACTGGAACCCACAGCAACAGCAAATCCAAGGGCTCAGCAGGATTGGCCCCTTCTAAATCGACCCTTTACGTTTCCAATCTCGACTACGCCCTCACCAATTTCGATCTCCATACCCTCTTCTCCACCTTCGGCAAGGTCGCTCGCGTCACAGTTCTCAAGGGGGTTTCGACGAACCCAGCAAGGCTGGGTTTAGTTGAAACCCAGCCTTGTTGGGTTCGTCGAAACCCAGCTGCTGGGTTTCATCTGCTGGGTTCCGATGAACCCAGCTTTCCACCGACCTAGGGTGGGAAAGAAAGAAAGAGAAAGAAAGAAGGGAAGAAGAGGAGACGATGGATGAAGAAAGGGAGATAAGGGTATTAAGGTAAATTTTCAGTTTTTTATTTTTTATTAAAAATAAAGTGTTAATTTAATTTAGTATATGAGTTGGCATATGAGTTGGCATTTTTTTTCTGATGTGTTATTGCCATGTCATAAAAAATTTATAAGAAAATACCACGTGAAAATTTTTAATTGCCACGTCACAGATAACTGACAGAAGGACTAACGGAGTGCATTTCATGAAGTTGAGGGATCAAAAAAGTGCAAAAAATTGTTAAGG